GGGGGGGGGGGGGGAACATTCTTATCATACATATTCTCAGTAACCTGATTGTATTTGATGTGAAGACCGATTAGACTGTCCAAATTGCGGATTGATTCGGAAGGGAGGGGGGCTGTACTAATGATTAGCGCTCTTAACCACTCCTTCAGTTGTCTGTGTTTACAACTAGGGGATGAAACACAGACAAACATTCTTATCATACATATTCTCAGCAAATGAGAGATGAATATGTTCCTACTCTATTCCATTTATTATTCTTAGATGGGCAGAGGTGCAAATATGAAGTTTTGCTTTTTTTTTTATCCATCTAATCATGTAAAATAAATAACGTTTAATAACTGTGAAGCCAGCTGTGTCTCAGCTCATGATTCCAGTTCTTAATTCAGACTCGTTGTTATCGGGTCTAGAGTTATAATCCCAACACAGTGATTATTTTTCCAAAGCTTGCCTTTTTTGACCTGTGGTCTCACATCTAAATGTAAGCTGATAATATAACTCAAAGAACAGACAAGCCAGGGAATCGGAAATCTTGATGGTGTACGTTGGTCAACGTAAGGAGGAAGGGGTAGTAATGACCTACGCATCCACAACCAGTGCTCGCGATTCAAATGAGCCTTGTTATAAAAAATGATAATGTTTACAGGCTCAGTCTGAGAAAATTTCTCCTATTCTTATGTGCATATTCCAAATTTTCAAAGATGCGAAACTGTAACAAAAATGGAAAGTCGACTGTAGCAACTAGGTTAACCTTGGAGTCCTGAATGACGATGATGCAATAGATTACAGCATAAAGGAACAGTATGAGAAAAGCGGGTAAGAGTGAGATAAGACGTTCCGGTCCATTAAATCATATACATCTTAACACCGCGGCAGGACTTCGTCAGTATGACGATCCCGGTGCTTAATGGAAAAGAAAAAGATAAGAGAAAGACGACAAGAAAGAACCGAAGGGGAAACAGTATGGTTTTGGGATTAGAAGTAAGAGTGGAGTGAAGAGGAGAGAGGAAAGGAAGGAGGAAAAAAATGGTTTTAAGAGAGAAAGGTTTTTTTTCAAAAAGTTATTTTTTAAAAACAGCTTTTCATATATTTGCTGGGGGTTAAGTTCGTGGCATGGGTGAAGTGCTTCGTTAACTGGTATGTTGGTAGCCTTATAGCGCTAACGCTGAGCATTTGCATGCAATAATCTTCATTCTCACACTGTAGATCACAAGCAATCACAGAAATCAACATAATTACTAACCTGATTGTATTTGATGTGAAGACCGATTAGACTGTCCAAATTGCGGATTGATTCGGAAGGTACCGACGATAGGCAATTATTATCCAGGATAAGATTTTGTAGCGTATTCTTTACGTCATTGAAAACTGGCCCTTCGATGTTGCAAATCTACATAATTCTAATTCAAAACTTTCCGAATTCGACGATTTTTAGCAGATATTTTGTATTGGAATTCAATTGTTCTATTTTTGCAAAAACTACAGTAGCATTTCACGAGAAATGAGCTGTACCTGATTGCATCCGAGATTCAAATCAATCAAGCTGGACATGTTGCGGAAAACTGGTGTCTTGATATCACCAATATTATTACAGCGAAGACTAAGAACACTCAGGGCACGCATCGCAGTTAGCGAATCAGTTGGAATAGCAGTAAGCTTGTTTTTGGAGATTGATAGCTCAAGCATGGCAGATTCCAAGCCCCGGAATGCGTCCGGATGCAGTGCACGAATGCGATTGTTGTCCAGAATTAACTTCTTTATGCGTAGATTTTTGAATGCATTTCGCCCAATCTGTGCATTAAATATACAGCTTAAATATTCTTTTAAATTAGTGATTGTCCAGAATTTAATTTGAAAAATTCATTTTTTAATGGACCAATCTTGCAACTGCATAATCTCGCCACCGGTCTGTTTGAGTTATCCAAGATTTTTCGAGATGAATTCAAGGTCAGAGTATTACAGCGATTCAAGCAATTAGTACTAGTACTCTTAAAGCCGTCTGACTACTGCATCTATGTGCTACGATATGTTGATATGAAGGGTAAAAAAAGCAACTTTGCGGTACTAAGTTCAACATAAAATTATCGAAATTATGAAGTTTTTTTTCCGGCAAAACTAAGGATAAAAGCTCTATACGTATATGAGCTATTGGTTCACCGTTGTTGAAAATGAAAGATTTTAAAGCGAT